TCAATGGAAGGGAAACTGATGTGATACAGCAATTTGTATACGGGGTAAAAGCGGGAGTTCATAATCCACGTGAATCAACCGTGTAATATGATGTATTAAGAACTATGTAATGTTATGAACGACCAATAAATAAATAAATAAATAAATAAATAAATAAATAAATAAAGGAGGAAGACGATGAACAGGAGGGAGAGAGGAAAGAAGGAGGAAGAGTAGGGGGGAAAGTAGAAGTGAAGGAGGATGAGGGAGAAGAAGAAGCATTTTAATTCTAAGTGAGGAACACCATGGGTCATAGACTGACTAATGGGAACACATAACTAACAATTTAAGTCTGATCTCTTCTTTTTCATAGTTCTGTGAGAAACAGAACTATGCATATGCTCAACATATTTCCAAGTATAACTTACCATTTCCTCAACAGGCTTCAAATAATCATCCAGAGACATAACTCGAATCATCACTGAAGAAGGAAATAAGACAGTATTTATCATTAGTGTCATAACAGTTTTTATCCTAAATGGGTTAACCTAGGTGAATCAGAAAGCATGAGACTACCACAAAACTGTAACGAGTAGAAACACATATATCCAAAGTGATACAAATCAAATACAGGGGCTATGATCTTGGGACTGTTAAAGCAGACTCAGGAAAGAGCTCAGTAAAATGACATTCTCATTCTTTTACTTCCATCTGCACCTTCTCCTCCCATGTATCGTCATAAAATGTAATCAAGGTTGCTTAATAACTTTCTTAAAATAATGAAAGAAAGAGGAGGCAAGTCAGATAAGTTAACTTTATCTTACTTGTACAATTCATCCCAGAAATTCTGTGTGGACTTAATTCAAGTAGGCTTTTTTTTTCCTGTCTATAGGTCATTAACTAATTCTCTTCTTCCAAAATATGCAGTGTAAGCAACTGCAGGCCCCTCTACTCTCCCACTCTTCTTTAAGTCCTATCTGTTCTTAACCTGATGGCCCTTGTCAAATCCATGTTACACTGCTGTCAATGAAATTCATTCTGCTTAAAGGTGTTTTCTTTTGCCCCTATTTTCCTCACAGAATGTTCTTTCAATTTCTTTTCTGCACTGAGATTACCTTTTGCCCTTTAGGTCTCTCTAAGGGGAAAAATTCATAGTCCACATGACTTAAAAATGGGAATAAGTGAACGTATTAGCATTCACCAATAATCTTAGTGGCTGGAGTTAGTGAGGCAGGAGGATTGTGAGTCCAAAACCAGCCTCAATAAAAGTGAGATGCTAAGAAACTCAGGGAGACCCTATAACTCAGTGAGACCCTGTCTCTAAATAAAATACAAAATAGGGCTAGGGATGTGGCTCAGTGGTCAAGTGCTGCTGAGTTCAATCCCTGATACCTCCTGCACCCAAAATGGGAGTAAGTAAATTCCCGAAGTTACACTTCCAATGAAACAATTTCCTTTTTCTGTAATTAAAGAGAAAGTATTTTAGATGTCATTTGTTAAAAAACAAGCAAGTAGCTATTGTCTGTTTAAATCATATAAAGAATTTCAATGAGTTAATGGCATTCTTTTCTACCAGCTAGAGATATCATAGACCATTTTAAAATGCTCCATGGGATGGGGGTCCTTTAGTTGTCCTTTTAAGGAAAGTGAAGATTGGTGTCAAAATTTGTGTCAATAGGTCAATGCTATTGCACTTTGGGGAAAAAAAGCCATGCATTTATAGGGTCAGATGGTTTTAACCATCTGACCCTATAAATGCATGTTTTCATCTGGTTAAAGCCCTTTAAATGGGTTTTTCAGACTGAATTAGAGATCAGCTTTGTTAATCTCATTCTTCCAGACTATTGACCCTCTTCTTATTTCAGTTTACTTATGCACATACTCATTTTTTAAATGTTCATTGAGAATATATTTTATCACTCATATGTGTGTGCATGGATTATTGTCAAGTGATAAAGATAAAGAAAAAATGCCTCTGTATATCATGGACCTGTCATAAACTGGCAGAGAAATACCAATCTTATTAAGTCTTATGCTTTTAAATGTGATTTCCTATTGATGGCTCCCCAAAGTCACTGCGACAACCCTTTCTTCTAACCTAAGGATTTATAAAACATACTTCCTACTTGCCTACTTATCTGCCCTGTTGTTTAAAAACCAGCTTGTGTTTAATGTGTCTAAAAATGAACTCCACTGATACTTTTTTTTTTTTTTTGGTGGTGCTGGGGATTGAACCCAGGGCTTTGAGCATGCGAGGCAATCTCTCTACTAGCTGAGCTATTATCACCAGTTAAAAATGAACTCCATTTCCTCATTTAAACTTACTTTTGTCTTACTCTTTCACATTTTGTAAAAGGGTATTTTTATAACTACAGGTGTTCAGATCAGAAATCCTGGATTTCTTCCAATGGTACCTCCCTATATACTTGCGAAATACTGTGCTTCCCTTATCTCTTGCCCAGAATGACTCTCCCCACCCACATTGCACAACTTCACTTTACTGAAGCCTTTGCTCAATTACCTTAAACAAGTATTTTCCTCTAGCCCCAATCTTTCCACCCACTTGTTAGCACTGCCATTTAGACACTGCCTTCTCCTTTAGTCTGTCATTAAGTTTATTCAATACATAAAGGTCTTTTTCTTGGTCTCTTTCAAGATACACTAACTGGATCTCTGCCATTGGAGTTGCCCTAAACTACTTAATCCTTCTATAATCATAAAAGCAACCCTCTGAAGACTAAATCTTATCTTTTCTTTGAAGAAAACCTCCCATTGTGAAATAAGTGTGTCTTAATAACTTAATGTGCAAGTAACATATTTCTCTCTAGAAAACTCCAGCCTTACCTCCCTTCTAAACTCCCTCCCTTCCAGCCTCCTATCTAGCCTCTCCCCATGGTGTCACCTAACTTGAAGCCATTTAGCATGTCCCTCTGTGTTATTTCATCATAAGCACTATCTTTATTTCTGTCACTTCTGTCTATAATAACTTTAGTTCTTTTCTTCTCAAAAAAAGAGACTTATTTCCTTATTTAACTTATTTCTTACATGCTAGAATCATGGGTGCCTTATTTTTTCTTTGTTAAGCAATATTTTCTCCAATACTCTTTTTTAATACTATAGTGTATATCTCTGGGGAAAACTGCCCATCCCATCCCTCTCTTGTATGAATATCTAAGAGAGTGAATCCCTAACAGTACCACCACTCTGTGTGATTGTGTATCCTGGACTGGTCACCTGGATGGATACCTGATCCAAACTGAACAGTCATATAATTTAATTTGACATTGTTCACTTATGCCTCTAGGAAAAACTTATTGCCAAAAGAGTGCCAAACTGTCAATCTTCTTCATAAGATGATGATGGTTGTCACTAGAAACATAATAAATGAATAAGTTTCTTTTCTGGTGAGTGGGTGTGCTGCTATTTTCTCTGGACTAGTAAGTTAATTAAAATAATCTCTACTTAAGTCTTAAGAGTTTTGTTTTTGGACATTAATTCATCTTCAGATTTTTTGTGAACTTTTTTTTAGCATGGCTCCCTAGCCATTCACCACACAGCCAGTCTACTAATCCCCACTGAGAAGTAGCAGTGGGTTAGTGGAGTGGCAGAGTAGTGGCCTGGGCAAGCTGGAACATGGACAGTGAGCACTGACCATGGCCAGTGGAGCCCAATATGCTAGCTCAAGCTGGAGGTGTGGTATGCCAGGGTACACCTGACCTGGTATCTCACAGCAGCCTTACCTAACTGAGCTAAAGCCCCATTGAAGAAGCCAACATTATCCCCACCCCTGGCATTCACAGTCTGCAGACCTCAACCTCCTAGGAAGCTAGGATTGCAGGCCAAGAGTGAGATAATAGAAGTGGGGCCCATCATTAAGAACTATAGCATATTTCTGTGCCACAGAGGCCTGAAGCTTATGCAGGCCCCACTTGCCAGCAGAAATGGAAAAACTTTAGTTTCATTTCTTCCTCTATTCAAATGCCTGACATCTTTAAAGATTTACCAATGAGTATATACCTTTAAAAGGGAACTATAATATTAAGCCTAATGTTTAAATAATAAAAATCTCTTTGTTCAAAAATGTTTTGTTTTGAAGGAGAAGTATTTTAAACAAATGAAATAAAACTCTTACTACAGAGTTCTTGGAACAAAAATCAGGTGGTAATTGTGCTTTGGGAAGAATTTGCAATCTGAAATTATACTAGTTGGAACCTGCTCTAAATTTTTTAAGGATTACTGTCCAAATTACCTATGAGATAGTAGACAAGTTACATGGCCATCCTGTCCTTACTTCTGATTTCGGAGTTAGAATTCTTTGCTTTTTTTTTTTTTTGATATGAGGTAAGTTTGGTAAGAAGTGATTACAATAATCAGGAAAATCCCAGTCAGACAAGTACATAATTTTCAGCCAGCCAGATAATTCTGGTTAAAGATTTTAATCACAATAAGGTAAGATTCTTCAATGTAAGATAAAGGCCAAATTTGAAAGTTGGAAAATACAAAGTTAAAAAAAATGCATGTAGCTAATTTCTAAACCTTTTCTTAAGAGTTTTAAATGGTTAAATTTATTATGACAGTCATCAATAACTTCTTGTAAAATTTTTAGTTTGCATTGATGTCACATAATCTGTAATTTCTTTGAAGGAGACAGAATGAGAAATAGATATGCATCAAAATGAAGATAGTGGTCACATAGGAAGCTATAACAAATCATATGTGCCCTGAAGTTTTAGCATAAGGTCATAGTTAATATGGCAATGTACTTTATATAAAAGAAGAACTGCTATAATGAGTAAACCAGGAACAGTTACAGCATTATATCTCAGATACAAATGACTTTTTTTTAAACTGTATATCCTTTAATTGTCTAATACTCAACCTTTATTTTATGCAGTATAGAAAAACCATTTCTGTGCACATTAGGTCCTTTATTAGAAAGCAGATAGGATAAGAATAATAAAGAAATTCATTTTGATTAAGTTTTTACATTTCTATGCTGTTTGAAGTAGTAGCTTCCTTACCAACCTCTGCCTTCTGCAATTCTTCTTAGCAAGAATCTAGGATCATTCCTTGGGCATTTGCTTGTGTCTACTATATACAATCTTCCTCCTCCTGAGCATGCCTAAACCCACCACAAGTAAATTTATAGTGTTTGTTCAAAAACTGTTGGTGCTGTCTAAATTTTAGCACTGATCAATACCTTGGTTTTCTTATCTAGTGCTTCTGTTTCCCTCACTGATGCGAACTCCCCTGTTTTTGACTGCTCTGTAGGCAAAGGTCTATCTAACACCATAAAAACAAACCAAAACATCAAAAGAGCCTTGGATCTTGGACTTTTTCTGAGAAAGGGGAGTGGAAGGGTGTGGGATGAAAATACTCATACATCTCAGTTCCCACAATGTCAGTATTTTTCACCTCCTTCTGTTTGGGCTTTGCATAGTCACAGCATGTTGATGCCTAAGAAGCCTATGATTTAAGAAA